CCCCCCCCCCCCCCCAACCATTAACCGGTTAAGTACAGTTACGTACAAAAAAATAATTACGTGATGCTGACAAGTGCTTATTTTGTTTCCTGTTTCTAAATTGTCTTTAATAGATGCTGTTACCAAACGTTTACATGTATTTTATTGCATTTGATTTGATTTTTGACATCGAGTGAGAAAGTTCTGGAAAATATATATTCGTCAAATTGTTTTTATGACACTTTTGACTTCAGAGCTTATGTAGCTTCAGTAAGATTAGATGGAAATGATGAATTTGGAAAATTAAGATTGAAGACGATTCATGGTAGCATTCTACTGGAGGTACTTATGAAATCCACAAGAACATGTAGCTGGCCATTCCATCAGCAAACTTTCATAATAATGTCAGTAGGACCTGTGATCATTGTTCATTGATGTGGTGGTACAGTGTTTCTCAAACTACAGGTAACCCTCGATTTGCGCCGATTTTGAAACCAGCAAGTCAAAAAGTGTAAAAAAAAAAATTTTGCTATTATTTATAACGTTTTACAATGTATCTAGTACTGATTTTATACTAAATCGTAATTTTTACATCGCTAATTTTAAATAGAAATTATAAATACAGTCATTTCTGCAATTACGTATGTTTCGTTAACGCGAATTTGCTCCAATGAGATCGATGAATCGGTAAAAGCTGTTTGTGAAATGCAAACTTTCGCATATGCGAGTTTGCTCTTATGCAGTTTCATTCCTGGCGCTTTAAACTTTCAAAGGACTAATTTAATCTCTGCAGAGATAGGTCGGCGTCTTACATGAATGCAACTATCGCATAACAGCAGAGATGACTGTACACATCAATCACATGAAAGAATCGCGGTCAATCGCGGGGACCAACGAATTGGCGATTGTGAGTGTATAAAATAAATTTTTTAAATTCCCTTTATTTTATTTACGTTATTTCAGAGCTTTAAATCTTATGTCATTATATTACTCGTCAATGTTTGGGTGCTGGGAATGCATGTCATTGACTTCCCATTGATTTACATTATAAGAGCTTCAATTTACGCCGGTTCGTCCAGGAACGCATCCCCGGCGTAAATCGAGGGCTACCTGTATGTTCCACATAACCCTGGGTTTTCCACAAAGAGGTTACAAGGGTTCTGCAAGAGAAACTCTCACCAGAATCTGTTGACAAATTTTAGTAAAACTTCCCCGTTTCACGTAATATTAACATGCATTTTAAAGATATTTTGTGTGTGTGCTGGTTTCATTCGACTAAAGATAGGGCCCAGTGTCGGGCTCTTGTGATCAAAGCAGTGAACCCTTGGGTTTCATAGATAATGCATTTTATGACTAGACGAATGACTGTAAACTTCTCAGGAAGGAATATTCCTTGAATTAACTAGTTAGCTAGATTTAATTTCACAAATTATGCAGCTACATTATTTTTATAATATTTATTTGCTGGCAACTATATTTTGTGTATTGAATTTACCTCCTCTTGGTCACAGATTGGACCAATAAATTACCTGCTTCAACCTCAAGGTAGTAATCATCTATTAGTTTTTGGTTATCCACGTATTCATCTTGAGATGCGTTGGTAGTCGAGAACCGTTTTCCATCTTTCTGACACGATCTCATGGCTTTTGTTCGTACTATGCCAGTTGATTTTTGATTGATCCCATGTAGGTTTCTTCTAAAATATTTTGAATATATGCATGTTGAAATTAAATTTGAAAATGGTGTAACTAGATGTTCTTCTAGTTCGAGTTTAATTATTGTATTTCATGTTTCAGGGCACACAAAACATGAGATGACATCCTGGTCAAGTTTTGAGTCCGTGTTCTCATTCATACAGGAACGGCGTAATGCCTTGGTCGGTAAGGATGAACTTTGATCAGTTCTGGAGGATGGTGTGGGAATGAAAGTAGTGTACAGTAAATCTGCTTTTATTTTCAGTTCACTCTTAGTTATAGTTTGCTTGGTATTTGCAATGTATTCAAGAGGTTCACAATAAAGCAGATCCCTTCAGCAAATATCGCTGTAACCATGAGATAATTTCTGATTCATTCCTCGGAGTATGTATATTACAAATTTTCTGCCTCTTTAACTTGTCAGAATCTACTAGGTCGAGAATGTTTGATCTAATTACGGAACACAGTTTCCATCCATTACAGAAATTTCTTTGTCATAAACAATTTGAAACATAAATATTTGTGAAATGCAAACTTTCGCATATGCGAGTTTGCTCTTATGCAGTTTCATTCCTGGCGCTTTAAACTTTCAAAGGACTAATTTAATCTCTGCAGAGATAGGTCGGCGTCTTACATGAATGCAACTATCGCATAACAGCAGAGATGACTGTACACATCAATCACATGAAAGAATCGCGGTCAATCGCGGGGACCAACGAATTGGCGATTGTGAGTGTATAAAATAAATTTTTTAAATTCCCTTTATTTTATTTACGTTATTTCAGAGCTTTAAATCTTATGTCATTATATTACTCGTCAATGTTTGGGTGCTGGGAATGCATGTCATTGACTTCCCATTGATTTACATTATAAGAGCTTCAATTTACGCCGGTTCGTCCAGGAACGCATCCCCGGCGTAAATCGAGGGCTACCTGTATGTTCCACATAACCCTGGGTTTTCCACAAAGAGGTTACAAGGGTTCTGCAAGAGAAACTCTCACCAGAATCTGTTGACAAATTTTAGTAAAACTTCCCCGTTTCACGTAATATTAACATGCATTTTAAAGATATTTTGTGTGTGTGCTGGTTTCATTCGACTAAAGATAGGGCCCAGTGTCGGGCTCTTGTGATCAAAGCAGTGAACCCTTGGGTTTCATAGATAATGCATTTTATGACTAGACGAATGACTGTAAACTTCTCAGGAAGGAATATTCCTTGAATTAACTAGTTAGCTAGATTTAATTTCACAAATTATGCAGCTACATTATTTTTATAATATTTATTTGCTGGCAACTATATTTTGTGTATTGAATTTACCTCCTCTTGGTCACAGATTGGACCAATAAATTACCTGCTTCAACCTCAAGGTAGTAATCATCTATTAGTTTTTGGTTATCCACGTATTCATCTTGAGATGCGTTGGTAGTCGAGAACCGTTTTCCATCTTTCTGACACGATCTCATGGCTTTTGTTCGTACTATGCCAGTTGATTTTTGATTGATCCCATGTAGGTTTCTTCTAAAATATTTTGAATATATGCATGTTGAAATTAAATTTGAAAATGGTGTAACTAGATGTTCTTCTAGTTCGAGTTTAATTATTGTATTTCATGTTTCAGGGCACACAAAACATGAGATGACATCCTGGTCAAGTTTTGAGTCCGTGTTCTCATTCATACAGGAACGGCGTAATGCCTTGGTCGGTAAGGATGAACTTTGATCAGTTCTGGAGGATGGTGTGGGAATGAAAGTAGTGTACAGTAAATCTGCTTTTATTTTCAGTTCACTCTTAGTTATAGTTTGCTTGGTATTTGCAATGTATTCAAGAGGTTCACAATAAAGCAGATCCCTTCAGCAAATATCGCTGTAACCATGAGATAATTTCTGATTCATTCCTCGGAGTATGTATATTACAAATTTTCTGCCTCTTTAACTTGTCAGAATCTACTAGGTCGAGAATGTTTGATCTAATTACGGAACACAGTTTCCATCCATTACAGAAATTTCTTTGTCATAAACAATTTGAAACATAAATAGCTTATCGCCCTGATGACGGAGGCAGTGATACCTCTGAAACGTTGGTAAACATCGACCAGACTACCATCATTTCAGAGGTCATACTGCCTCCGTCATCAGGGCGATTAACAATGCTGTCAGTAGCTCATGTTCTGTAGTGTAAAATTATGGAATGATTAGCAGTTGATGAATCAGAAAGGATGTGGATGGAAACAGTCGTGTCCTAATTTAAGATACTACCTTGAAACTTGTTTGGAGGGACTGAGGAATACCATGAATATCTCAGTATAACCAGACTCTGGGCTGTGGTAACCAGATTGACTACGGTGTTCAGTCACCACAAAGAACATAATATTTGATATTTGTGTTTAATTGAAGCTGTTATGTAAAAATGCAAATGACCATATAGTTTAATTACAAAATGATGGGATTCTATTTGTGATACATTTATAGTTTTGTAATATTTTATTCATTATATCTGCATTCCTCGTCCGAGGAGTCCTATTGAGTGTCAATGGATTGATCCAACGAAAAGTTGGGACCCGCAGTGCTCAGGCACTTGAAGAAAGGGTCGTTTCCAGTATCCAGTACATCTGCATTCATACTTCGGCAAGTTCAGTGTGCCTTTAGTTGCAAACTAATATATTTCCTTCCAGTCACACCTGTAAGTCTACAGACAAACATATTATTATGTAAATTTTTAGGACAAATAAAATGTTTTATCCTCGCTGTTTTGATGTAACTTGTTTTCTGCAGACGGTGAACGTGTACCAGTATTAGAAGGCAACTACCATTTGTTGCTTCTTATGACCAGATTTCTTTGTTAAACATTGGAGTTAAAAATTAAACTTTTTCACATACATGTCACTTGAATATAGAGACAGTGATGTATAAGCATGTTAATTTGTACAGATTATGTAGACCAGAGGTCCTCAACCTTTTTGTGCCTACGGGCACATTTGAGAGTTTATGAGATCGTGGCGGGCACCAACCAATTAACAAAGCCAAATTTTCTTTTCTCTGGACAAATAAGATATGGACACCAAATAATACACAAAACAACACAACGTTTAATGATATAAGAAACCACGCAATCAAAAATACGTACTTTTATATGTACAATTATTATTATTAAGTAGGAAGTTGCTGTGATGTTTGGCGCTGCATTTCATCGGCCAGTTTTTCAAATTTGGGAGTGTAGGATGATGTTTCTGCTCGCGGACAATTGTCAAGATGGGCGTCAGTAAGTCCAGATCTGCGCTTTGATTTTATAATGTTCGTGGTTGAACGGCCTTAATTATTCAGTATAACATCTTTCCGTAATAACGCGGGCACCCAAAAGAAGCCTTGGCGGGCGCCGCGTTAGGGATCACTGATGTAAACATTCAAGAGTGTTAGAAAAAATGTGTTGTATGGATTCCATACAAAAAGTATTATTTAGATTGTGATTTTCAGGATTGTTGCAGAGGAAATAAGATCTTCCTTGGCAGAATATCTACTACCGTGATATTGTGCTTAGATAGCATCCTACTAATGTGGTTGTAAGTGTTTTCAGCGAAGGACTCTCCGAGGAAGATTGAGAGCACGATGAATCTTCAGGTTGGCTGGCCGTGTGTGTCAAGTTGGAAAGAACAGATAGACATTGAGGTGGATTTCTTTCCTAAATCCTTTGACCTGAGGAGCCATTTGGTTTTGTGCAAATATTAATATCCGGGAATGGGAGGTGACCATATTTCTCTTTTGTCATGGTTAATCGGATGTTGCAGTCAAGGTATTTAGTTTATTTTGTGTGTGGAAGCAGGTCATAAGCATGTCTTCACCATACTGTAACGAGCGTAGGGGGTTGTAGTGTGCTTTACTGAGTGTTTGTTACTCAGAGTCCTCCATGAAGAAGTTAGCAGTCGCTAGTGCGGGTGGTGAGCCTGTTGCATCCAACAAATAAACTACTCGCTAATTTCCTAGAACACACGGTGGGTAAAATTATTTTCACACTTCCAGAATTTTATTTAAAAGACTATAAGCTATCGACACTAATGACAGATTTCAGATAAAAAGAATAATATGCATTTTTCTATTGCCACTTATAATTTCTGAATATCAAAGCTATTTGACAGTAGCCCATATACTTCTCTGTCCCATTTTTACTAATTTGAAGGCCAGACCTGTATATAAATATTTTGTGGTTAGGACTGTAAGTTTGAGTAAGGCTTGGGAAATATCTTTGAATTGCTGAAATTATAGTTTGTATTTCATTCTATAATCAGTAGATTAATTTATTGTAATTTTAATATTTTGGTGCTACTAATATCTATTATTGTGTCTGCATAACATTACTGATTGTGTTTCTTCTCTCTCTTTTTTCCTCCCCCTCCCTCTCCCAACACCCTCATGCAGTTTAATGAATTAATAAATGACCTGATAATCTCGTTTCTACTCTGAGAGCTTAATATAGCTTTATCAAATTTACGTTTGCATTGTGTAAGAGTATCTATATCCTAAGCAGTTAAGAATTAACATTTGTTAAATTACACTGTCTACGTCTATTCCCCTACATTGCTTTACCGACTTCCTCTCCTGAAGGTCAGCATAAACGGTGCTTCGCGTGTGTACTTTATAGAAAAAATGGGAAGGTACTTCTGAGTCATATTCAGAACTTTTACCCCTCCCTTCATGCTTGTAAAGTTGCATATATCTGCATTTGAAGACTGGAACATGAAACTAACTTTATATTAATTACATAATCATGTGTCTAATTGTAAAATATGTTTGGCCTAACCTACAAACATGTAGTGAGTTTAAAAGGAAATGTTACAGCCACGATTAGTATTGAAAATAGACCATAGAACGAAACTTGAATGAATTTACCAACGTAAATACGACCGATCAATTTTTTTAATTTCTATAGTATTATTTATAAAGCGCATATTTGATGATTCACTTTAAATGGCAAACCTGCTTTTTCAGTTTGTAAAAATATTAATCATAGCAGTGGATGGAAAGGAGTGGGGGTTGATTTGGGAAGGTTTGTCAGCCTTGCCAGCTTAGTTGGAGGTATGACGCATCAGCTGAATGAAGAATTGGTAACGTGAAAAGAGAAAAAGGCAATACTCTCACTTCACTTATCTTTCGTGCAGTCATAAAACATTTTACGTGTGTATAAAACGCTATCAGCAGCTGCATGTCCAATCAGAAAGTGAGGTAAGTTAAAGCAATAACAGAATAAGTAAATCAAAGCGTTAGTTTAAAAGTAGGTATGAAGATTTCTGTCTTCTGGGTTGTTGCGTTGTGTAGCCTGGCCGGACTGCACAGCGCAACACCCCAGAAGACATGTATTCATACTCACC